GGATAAATGTATGGAGGCAGGGAGAGAGAGAGAGAGAGAGAGAGATAGAGAGAGTCATGTGTGTGCGACATGTCAGGCATTAAGTGAAATTTAAACCTGAACGCCTTTTGGCATGTGTGAGTGTGTGTGGGAATGCGTATGTGTATTCCTTATTGTTGCCTTAGTGAAATTTAATTAATGACAAACAACTTTTCATTGTTTTTCATTCTTCTTTTTTTGCGCTTTCGTTGTTTGTCTTTTGCTTTGCACGCGCCGGAAATGTATTCACATCCGTTTGAACAAAAAATTTTCCATTGTTTCAATAGGGGGAGGCCTGGCTGTGTGTGTGTGTGTGTGTGTGTCGTATGACATAATTACAGACACATAAAAGGCGCCTTGAAGCCATACAACATGACCATGCCATGGCTCAATAAAGGACTCCTTCTGCCTATGTCCTTGGCAGGCCGTCAGCTGTTAACAGCGCTGGCAAAGGGTCTGCAGCGATTAGAGCACATAAAACTTAGGCCCAGACATGGCCCAGCATTAGGCCCCAACGGGCTGGCCATAATTGACAGCTGCGCCAACGATTCACTTGACCTCGCACACAGTGAATACCAAATCCCCTTCCCCACCCACCCACACAGCTGCTGCTGCTGCTGCGCGTTTGCATATTAAACATTTAGCTGCAGTCACACCCAACCTATACACACACACACACACATGCACAGAGACGAGCACGCACACAATAGCAATTGACCGTGAAATTGTTGGCAACTGCAAGCTGACCATGATTGAAGTGGCCATCGCTGGCTTTCAACTTTGCACCATTTACCTGCTTTATTTATGCTCGCTCGGGAATGCTCGAGAGGAGTTTATTGGCTGTGCGAAATATTCATCTGTGTGTTGGCGAGTGGAAGTGGAGGACTTGAAATTTGTTTTATTGTGTAGTTTTGTTTAATAAACACTTAAGTTTTGATATCCCCAATGGAGGTGTGGTAGACGAAGACTTACAATTACCTCTAGAATGCATACTTCAAGCTGTATTAAAGCAGAGAGAACTGTAGGGCATTCTACAAAGAAATATATGTAGCATTACGTACTTAACACCATAATGCCCCGATAAGACTACACTGAAGAAAGAGGTATTTATTCCTAAATTAAATTTAGTAAATTTACTAAATGGAACATTAAAGCTTCATAAGTAGGAAATATACTAGATTAAAGGAGATAGCCTATAGACTCTATAGACTGTATAAACATTATAGACTCAATAGACTCCATAGACCCTATAGACTGTATAGACTCTATAGACTTTATAGACTCATAGACCATATAGAAAATACATATAAATTCTATATGCTTTATGCCAAATTGCAAATTATATTACATTATTTACAACATATAAATTATATTACCTACTTTACAAACCATCCTTACAATGATATGTAGGAAATGTGTCCTTATGAAAATATCAAAATTTAATTTCAATATAATTCTCGATAGAGTATTATAAGTTAGTTAAGCTCGACTACAATGCGCTAAGTTTTTTTCGTACGCTGCCCGCACAGTCGACCATAAAACACACACACTCTCCAGGTAAGCTCTTAAGGCGAGCAAAAGTAAAACAGTTTATGGCATTTAAAAATAATTTATGATATTCTGCATGAAACTTGTGAAAACTTTGCTAAAAGTGTAAACAAAACAAAGGCAGCTAAAGGTAGCTGAAAATACCCTAAAGTATATAATAATAAACCCTTCTTCGGTAAGGGGATCAAAATGGAAATTTTAGCTTATTCTTTTATATAGTCAGAGACTTTGATATTGTACTTATTAGTTAAGGAGATTAAGCCTTAGATGATTATGGACTTGCTACATTCAATATCAATAAATCATATTGAACGAAATAGTCATTTTATGAAAATTAAAAATTAATATAAATTAAATAACATATTTTTCTGTAAAGTAAAGTAAAAAATATAAAAATAAAATAAAGTTAAAGTTTTAGCAAATAATATATAAAAATCTTAAACTTCATCTTTTTAGAATCGCATAGATGGGCAATTTAGAATACAATATTTATTATATATTTTAACATCGTATCTCCTATCATTTATCACCTTTTAAAATCTAACATATTTTACACAAATTTCAATCTTTAAACCTTTTCCCTCAATGGGTATCTCAAAGTGCAGTTAGAGCAGCTCAGTTCTGGCAGAAAGCCCCAACTGCTGTGTGGGCATTCAAATGCATTGCATGCAAATGCCACAAATAGTAACAAGTTGTTTTTAGTTGTTGTAAAGTTTGTTTTCCATGAATTTGCCATTTTACCCCACAACCCCTCTCTCCCCTCTCGCGCTCTTTACACACTCTCTGTGTCACTTCTATGGAAAAATTCCCCCATTGCATTCAATTATTCACACTTGGCCGCAAATCAAACAGATTTGCAAATTATGCAAGCCGCCTGTGGTTAAAGCGAACACTGGGGGGCGTGGAAAATTTTGTGGCCAGGCTAATAATTATGTAGTAACGAAATAGATGGTAGAGAGAGAGAGAGAGGGAGAGAGTGCGGAGAGTAGAGCAATTTAAGCATTTGGCAGAGTCGACTTGGCCTTTGGCAGAAATTCAATCCTAGGCCGTCAGATTGAGGCTTCGAGCCAAATTTCACAGGTCTGTAGGCTGTTAAATGAATCAGAATATTGGCCAAGACATTGTTGTGGTTTAGCCATGTTGTTGCAGGTTGCTCGTTGCACATTGCACGTTGCATGCCCCAGCTTCGGCATGTGTGTTGCATGTGGGCCATTGCCACAAATTTCAATATGCACATTCCTATGAGTTAGCTCACGGGCTTTGTATCCAACACTGGCGTGCCAAAAGCATTTTAGCATTTAATTAACAAATAACAAACATGACTTCGAGTCTGGTCTTAAAACGTATTTGCGGCCAGCTGATAAGCGTAGATAATCATATTGAAATGGGAAAAGACTCGGTGATCCATATAGAAGCACTTCAGGCAAATTGGTAAGGGAGAATCAAACAAAGAAGTTACGTGGAAAAATTAAATAACTGGTGAGTGTAGGCAGTAACAGCAGCGAAGCTCCACAAAAAGTTTGTTTGAATTTAAGTAATGCAATGTAAAGCGAAGGGAGAAGCAATGCGAGAAGCTAAACATAAAGTAAAGTAGGAGTAGAGCCTGAAAAGGCTACAAGTAAAAGGAGAAGTTCAAGGAAAGAGGTGTTTAAAATTAAGAAGGAGAGAGAGACATAGAGAGGGAGGGGGAGAGAGAGAAGCACAACAAAGTATAGAGAGGCTATGCAAAAAGAAAATTAAAGGGTGTTACAAAATAGAAAAACTTGTAAATGGGAAAAATTGAAAGAATAGAAACTTGAACTGCCTTGAAATATATAGAAAAAGAGAGTTCATAGAAAAATTAGAGGGAAACGGAGAGACAAGAAAAAAAGAGGCAGTGTGAGAAAGAGAGAGACTAAAAATGAGAGTCTGATAGGAAGAGGCTAGGGCGAATGTAGAAGTAATGAGCAACAGAGAGAGAAGTTTATATTTATTTAGGGATTCCGAGAGAATGAGAAGAAGATAGAGGCATAAAGAAAGTGGTAGACAGAGAGAGAAAGAGCGAGAGGAAGACAGAATCATAACCAATAATACCAATCAAATAAATTAAGTAAACAAGAAAATAAAAGGAGAAGCTTCAACAAGTAAGCCCGAAGCAAAACCAAAAGTCAACCTAATAAAAAACTCTACGTTGTGCCATAATTTGCATGTTAAAGCATAAATTCATGCTGTAAAGCATTTGTGTCTCAAAATTCAACAAAAATCACGCTTTAACGGAAAACTTCAACACTTTCTTAAACTTTTCGTTCGCTTCTTGTATAAATTTGATTTGCTGCATGTTAAAAAGTTTTGATTTATTATTGTGTCTACAATTTATCTTATCAAAACATCATTTAAATTTAAATAACAACAAATCTGAGAGCACTTATTCGCCTTTTCCTCCACTGCCAATTCTTCTTTTCTTCTCCTTTGTTGCTGTTGTCGTTGTTGTAAATTGTTGTTTGCTTTGAACTTGTTGTATTCATGGAAATTTATCTACGGCCTAAACACAACACCCACACACGCACACACATAGAGTCAGCATGATAAATGCGAGTTTTCTTTAGGTTTGTTTGTCTGCGTTGAAATGCCTAAAAATGTGTTTGCGGTTGCTTTTGAGAACTGAACTGAGCAAAAAAAAAAAAAAAAAAAAACATTTGCCAGTCACGATGTTTTCCTTTTGCGTGCCTGAGTTGGGTATTATAATTCTATGATGGTTAGTGTAACGCCCACAAGGATGATTGGCTGCATGATTCTCTCTCTCTATCTCTCTGGTTTTTGTGATATAAGAATATGTTAAAAGAAAATTCTATTTCGATTATGAGTCGAGTAGTAACGTCAACTACTTGTTGAGCATGAAAGCTGGATGTAAAGGCTTTGCCATTTTCGAAACTGCTAACGATGTTGTAGGAAATGTTCTTTTGAGAGATCTATTCAGATAGCTGTGATAGTCTAAAACAGAACTTGAATTCACTTTTAAGCACTTACTCCCTTTCTCTCTCTCTCTCTGTCTGTTTCTTCTGCCCTGTGTTAATTAGTCTCTTAAGTGTCATAGCTGAAAATTACAATCAATATAGTCGTTCCAAACGAGATATACAGTTCTAAGGACTAAGTATTGGATGCAAAATCTTACTGATAAACTAGATATCAACATCTAAATTAAGAGCAATACGTGTTCAGCCTAATATTCATTGTGCATTATTTTCAAAATATTAACCTCATCGCCAATTCATGTAAATATCTTCCTAGAGCATTCAATATTCAACAAGAATTTTTCTCATTATTTTTGGTTTTTGGATTATGTGGTCTTCTTCGTTTTGCTTACTTATGTTGGTGTTGCCGCAAAGAGTACAGAAATGTGAATACCTTTACATACATATACATATATATATATATATAGTCTGTGGCTGACTTACCTTGCCATGTTGACGATACGCAGCTGCTCACTTTTCCGTGCCCTCCAAGCAAAAAAATCTGAAGACGAAGCAAATTGTTAGCGTTCTTAATTTTTGGCCTTCGCAGGACTTGCTGCCGTGCGCGTCCTTGAATCAGGCTCGAAATGTCATTGAGTATCTGGCCGTAGTCGAGGGGTGTGTTGGCATGTTTACAATGCTCAGGTCTTGGCCGCAAACTAAATCAACGTTCTTTGGCAGCACTGCGCAGGGAGAGGGGGGGAGCTAAGAGAGCACCCACACACGCACAGAGTCTGAGATAATGCTGATGATGCTCTGATGATGATTACCGCAATGCTATCAGAGGCACTCACTCCGGCCCGGCCTGGCTCATCGTTTATCTCTGTCGCTCTTGTCTGGTCTGGTCGGCTGCCACTATCTGATTCGAAGACTTTTAATCCTGATTGTGAATGGGAATGTGTATGTGAATGTGGATAGGCCGTGTGCTACCTTGTTGCGTGATTGAGTTTGGATTTATGCCTCAAGTGCTGCTTGGGGATTTGCCTCAAGCAGCAGCCGCCCGGCCTATGCGGCGTATGTTCAATACACACACACACTCATCTACTGATGTGTAGGTGTAACTGTGTGCATCGAGAGCTATTTGTTTTCCTTTTGCCTCTTTGCAAGCGTTTTGATTGGAGATTTGAGATTTGAGTCCAAATGATTCGAACGTTTTGCTCTGTAAAAAAAAAAAGAGCAAAGAAATGAAATAACAATATAGACAGGAAACTTTATTTTAGTTGTTGCTGTGCGTTGGTGTGTGTATGTGTGTGTGTGTGTGTTTGTGTATGCGTGGGTATGTTTTTCTGCTTTATTTGATTTGCTGCTTTACATTTACATTTACATTTGCATTTACATAAGCATCAACATCATTAATATTGCAAAGGCATATCAATATATAAGCACTCTGCTGCCGATGAATGCTGTGCCTTAGTGTGACTGTCAGAGCGTGTGTGTGCGTGCGCACGTGTGTGTGAGAGAATGTCTGCAGCCCTGCAGGAAACAAATTGTATTCAAAGACAACGAGCCGGACTTTTCAGCTGTTTGTCAGGCTAAAAGGCAGCAAGTGAGCTGTGGCAACAGTTAAATAAATAAATACAAGTATTTTTAACTAAAAAAAAGACTTAATATGGATAAAAATGAAGTAAAATTAACCATAAAAATAATTATCTTAAAAAGAATATAAATAAAAAACCAATAAAATACTAATTGTTTGTTCAATCTAATATTTTTTTTGTAATAAAAATAAATAACACAATAAATAAATAGAATAGTAAAAAATAAAAAATTAAATAAAATTTTAAAAATATTAAAAAAATATATATATATATTTAGTACATAAAATATATACCTATTATTGTAATTATTAAAAATAACTATTCCACTTCTCAACAAAGTTAGAACGGAATCACAGCTCGCATATGACAGGTCGCGAGATCAGCCGAATAAAATTCTATTCAATCTCTCTCGCTCTGAGCAAGAGACTTCGGCTATTCGGTTGAGCGCTTTGAGTTGAACTATTCATGTGACGCTCATTTCACGAACTTCGTTTGGCGATACGATCGACGTTCGTAAAAGACTCAGTGTGTGAGCAATAGCCCAAGTCTCCTCTCTATCACATACGCACACCAGTTCATGTAGCTATAGATGTATTTAGCGAACGTCGTCTTCGCATACATGCACAAAAGGCCTCGTTTGACTCAACCAAAAGTTTGGAAAAAACTCAGAGCGGAAAAACGAAAAAAGGCTTCCATACGATCGCGAACGAACTCGCTGAAGAAACGACAGAGTCGATAGCTCCCTGAGTTTTTTCTCAAAGCTAAAAGTACTCTTGTTTATCCGCTCACTGTAAATATAATCGAAGCCCTGAATAGCTGAGGTTGTTGAACTCCTGTTGGTAATAACAAAAATTCCTAAGTAAAAATTTTACTAAACGCTAATCACTTTCATATTCATGCAAATAGCATGTTTATCTTTTGCTAAAAAAAATAAATAAAAAAATGTTTAATATAAACTTGTAAGACATTTTTACAAAATAAAGTATATTAAATACTTATAAAACACCTGCCAAAAGAATATTTGCAAGCATTTCAATATTGCACGTGTCAAACGTATGTTTATTCATGCATTTTTCACAGGATTTTCTGCTCTGTTCTCTCTTTTCCTTTTCCTTTTCGTTTTCGTTTCTTTTTGCTGCTTTAAGCGTTTCCGTTATTTCATTTCCGCAACAAATTTGATGCGGCTTACATATATCATACGCCGCGTGTGCTGTCACTTCATGCACACGCACACAAACATACAGTCACACACACACACACACCATGCATATTGAACCACATAAATCTCTCTTTGGGAATTGCCATTCAAATGGCAAATGCAATAATAATTCGCAGCTCAAACAACTTGGAGCGAGTCGTGGAGCTGTGGGCGATGTCACAGCGTTATATATGGAATATTGGGGAGGGCGTCTGACATCCCTCAAGTTCATTCAGTTTGATTTGTTTGGTTGTTTTTAGTGTTGTTTGCATTGTCGAAGCGTTTATCATGCTCAGGTTCATGATTGATTATAATACGGGTATTAATTTAGCAAAAGGTCTGAGGGTGGCACACACACCCACCCCGTTCCCCCCCAAACTAATCGACGTTGACTGCAATTCGAGAAGTGCCTGACTGGGCAGGGCTGGGCTTGATGCGGTTCAATTGTAAAAGGGCGTCAAAACAATGCATGCAAAGCTCACTCAGCTCCTTCAGCCAGGACAAGCATTGGGGGCACTCACACCAAAAAGAAAGGCACGTTTTTTATAGCTTCCTGAAGGGTGTGTGTGTGTGTGAGAGTGTGCGTGTGTTATCAGCTGTTTGCTGCTCGTGTTATGACTGTAACGGAAATGTACAAGCAACAACAACAGCAGCAAATAACAATAAAAATAACAGCAAAGCAGGAAGAAAACAGCCCAAACGGAAGCAGCGCCGCCGCTGTCAAGAAACACTAACACACTAACCGATAAAAATAGAAAATACCAAACAAACAAAAAAATAATAAAATAAAATAAAATAGAGAGAGAAAAAAATTCAACTAGCAACCGAAAAGAAAGCAAACTACTCCACATATACGTATTATAACAGCCCCCAAAAACAATGGCGACGAAGTTGGCGCAAAATAAAAAATAAAACAAAACGAGAAAAAGTAAAAAAAAAGTAAAAAAAAGGGAACGGCTGACGCCTCCCCCTGGGCCAAAACAAAAGCCCTTTGAGGTGCAGCTAGACAAATCAAACAAAACAAAAACAACAACGGCAACAAAAAAGGCAAATAGGCAGCTGGCATTACTTGGCAGTTGACAAAGTAGGGGTAGTCCCTTCTGAAGTGGAAATCGTTAAAATATGTCAGCTGAGCACATAGATAAATTGCCTTAAGAAATTGTTAGGAAGTTAAATGAATGAATACATTTTTTCAATTTAAACATATGTATATTTATATAAAAAAAAAAAAATATATATATATATATTTTTTATTTTTTTTATTTAAAAAATAGAAATATATATTTTATTTTAGATAAATATTTTTTTGTTAGTTATCTTTTTAAGAAAATGCATTTAATATATTTAAGTTAATTAAATTATTATTTTATTATAAATATACTTTTATATCTATTCAAAAAAATTATACAAAAAAAACACATTATAAATATAATGATAATAATAGTACAATAAATAATCATGTATAATTATATTTATTTACAATAATATTTCTGATTTAATTTTTTTTAATATAATAACAATAAATAAGTACATTTTTAACAACATTTTACGTTAATATAATAAATAAAATTATAAGAACAATAATAAAAACTTTAATAAAAAAAAATCATTAAATATATTTATATTATTTTTATTTTGCATAAAATTTGTATACCTTATTATTTGCCTTCTATTTTATTTACCTAATTCTTGCTTTAAAAATAATCTGCCTCATTATAATCACAACAGACAATAACAATACCAAGATCAATAACTCTAATCCTAATAAACAATCATGCTCATAAATATTCATTTGACAGGCATACCCCTAATGCTGCAACTCGTCCGTGTCCATGTGCGAGCCCTTTGCGGCTTATTTGGGGCCATGCGGCGCTCCCTTTTTGCTGTCGAAAGCAGCTGCCATGGCAAACAGCAAAACAGCGACTCTATCAAGCACACACACACACACACACATACACCCATATACATATATATGGAATAACACAAACACAAACATTCACATTCGAGTGTGGCTCTGCCATCAGCGAAATAGTCGGAACAAAGCGCTCGCTTATTAGTATGCAAAACTGATAATCAATACTGAGTACTCGATGCTCTGCATGAGTACTCAATGCTCGGATCTAAAGTGTGGCTATTATGGCACATTTATGCTGGTCTTTGCACATTTGCATACGTGTTTTGGGACACTGTGCAGCCCCAACCAACCAACCTCCCAAGCGCTCAACCGCCCAGCCGTGCCCAAGCTTATGAAAAAATAGAACTTTGTGTGCTCGAGTCTCGAATTCACTTTTCTTTTTTACATTCGTTAGAAAATTTATGAAAAAAATGGGTGTGTGCTAATATGTTGTTTTTGTTGTTTTTGTATTAGTTGTTTATGTGTAGAACACCTTGACGTGTTGGGGGCAAAGCCGTCCTGGGGGCAACATGACATCGCCTTAAATATCCTGTCAAAGCCAAGCAATGAGAAGCAATTGATAAAAAAAATATATGTGCAAAGGCGCAATTTAATTGAGAGAAGATGGTTTCAACACATATTGCAAGCCCTTGGGGAACTGATATTCGATAGGTTTGTAAAATATATGTAGACAAATTTATAAGGAAAATAATAATAAAGCTGGAGTAAGTTCACATGTTTCTTGAAATTTTTAAAAGTGTTTGAAGACATTTCATTTGGTTTGTTTATTTTATTTGTATTATTATTTTTTTAGAAATACATAAAAAGAATATAATAGCAGGCATATAGAACAAAGCCTCAGGGTACCTCAAATTGTAGATAAATTTCCGGAGATAGCTTTAAGGGAGATTAAATTAAATCATAAAAATTTAACAAATTGGTCATTATAACTTTTCATATGCTGCTTATTTAATCGCCCATTAAAGCCAAGCTAAGCCTGATAACAAAACTTACAACTTAGTTATTTAGCTAAGCAAAAAAATAAATAAAAATAAAATAAAATAAAATAAAAAGATAGAATAAATAATTAAACAAATATGTTAAATATTTTATTCGACTGCTGAAAAATATTTGCCTTTTATTAAATCATTTTCAGAACTTGCTCAATTTGTTAAAGCAACGGTACTTTGACAAGCCAGCTATAATGATTACAAACATATTGAAGCCTAAAAACAATATTTGCTTACCGCATTGCATTAAAACAAATGTTAAATTGAGTCTTAAAGCTTAAGGCAATACTTGCAGATATAAATGGCATGGAAAGTATTTGCTAGCAAATATGAAATGAAAATAAAGTGCGAGCCGCTTAAGCTGCAAAGGCTTAACTAGATGACTGATAGACCACATACACACACACACACCCACTCACCCAGACGTGTAATCGAAAAAAAAGGGGAACATGATTTTATCGATTCGAGCCGGTAAGCCTTTTCAGCTCAACAATCTGGCCAAGCTGCATGCCATACATAAGAAAACATACACATGAACATGGCTTATGCTGGCTTATTGCACCTTGAGAGCATACAAAGACACGCACACCCACACAGGCACTTAGATGAGTGTGTGTCTGGCTGATGCCGAGTTACAGAAAGCGTAGCATACTTATGTGCGCTCTCATTGTACAATAAGACGCTTAATAATAGTAAGGCGCTACGTGCAAATGGTTACGGCTAGTAATAGACATAGGCATAGCCCAACACACACACACACACACACCAATACATGTACAACAAATGTGACAGCAAGTGGCCAGGGCCAAGACATGTAACTGAGTCGCTTTGCCGAGTTGAAGTTGCGACTGAAAATTGGCTCATGTGTTATTGTTTTTACAGTGTGTATGTGAGTAATCATTTGTGTATGTGTGTGTGCTAGTTGCCTTTTAGTTGTTGTTGTTGTTGCCTTTGCCACTGCTGATGTTTTTTTATAATTACTTGCAATGGAGGTTACGCCGTCTCTTTCTGTGTGCGTGTGTGTGTGTGTTTGTGTGTTATTGTTGTTGTGGGCTTTGGCATTGTTGTTAAGCACATATAGCGGTAATTTAATTAACATACATAAACACAAAAGCACACGCACACATACACCTACATATGGTGTGTGGCACGCTTTGGGGCATTGTTATACTTACAAAGCGATTGACGACTTTAGCCCTTGTAATCGATATTTCAATTAAAGTTAGGTTTTCATATGCACAACAAGTAACTGTTTTTGTTTTTATAAAGAACTATTTATGCTGTATTTATATTTAATGCAAACAGTGTAAGCTTATAGGGGGACCTTCAATTGTTTTCATTACATTTAGTTTACTGTTGGGGAAGTAAGTTTTATGTTGGTAACTATATTTAATTTTTCTAGTTATATTCCTATACATTTAGTTATATGTATATTTCCATATACATATATAAAAAAAATAAATATTTATATATATTTTTTTGTCATATAAAATCTATTTGTTTTTTTTTTTTTTTTTGTATATTAATGGTTTTCTATTTATTCATATACACGTATAATTTTTTTTTAATGGCCACATGTGTTGTTATTTTCTTTTTGCCACCAAATGTTTTTTTTTTTTTTTTTTTTTATTTTTTATTATTTATTTAAATTTTGACCGAATTTATATTTTAGTATTTTCATTATAGGATTTTAATACATATTTATTTTTATCATATCTGGCTTTCCAATTATTTTTTTAACACGAATTCCTATACATAAATACTTTTTTATTGTATTTTTTTTTTTCCTAATTTGCATATACTTTAATTCATTTATTGCATGCTTTTTGTATAAAGTTTTTTTATATTTAGGTATTTATTTTTATTATTATTTTTCATGTATTTTTCTTAATGAAATGCATACATTTTTGACTTGATTTAAATATTATATATAATTTTATTTTTATTTTTTAAAATCTTGTAGATTTTGTATGCTTTTATTTCAACTAGTTTCCGTTTATGAATTTTTTTTTTATAATTATTGGTTTATTAATTATTATGCTTTATTAAATTTAAACACATTTTTCATTTACTTTGTCCAACAAATTTCGCATCGATTTAAGCTTTTTTGCACTATATATAATTAATAATATTTTAAAATTATATATTATATTCTAAATTCTTTGTTAATTATTATTAATTTATTGTATATTTATGTATTCATATATGGTAATATTTTTTAAATAGCACACATAAATTTGTTGTTTTAATTAATATTTCTACTACATTTGTTTTAGAGTACAAAAAACACGCGTTTATCTAGTCTAAGAGCGCGACGCATGCCGCCGCTAGTTGCACGTAGCGCGTTGCATGCAGTTGGGTTGCGAAATTGGTAGCGGTACACAACCGTTAGGCGACGCGTTCGGCGAGCGAATAACAAACAAAGCCCGCAAAATACAACTGCCACAGCTGCTACTACGAATTGGCAGTGTTGCCGTGCTGCAAGCGACGCGTGCGCAGTGCACGGAGAGCGATAGCTGCTGACAAAACATCTGTGTTTTTGTTATGCTTGGCGTTAGAGGCGGTGGGCGTGGTGGGCACACACATGTGTCTTGATATGTATATATATATATGTGTGCGTATGTGTGTGTGTGTGTTGCGGCTGCCAAGACGTTTCCCGGAAATGAAGCAAACAACAACAATTAAATTTGCGCTCAGTGTGTGCGTGGAACAGTTATTTCAATTAAAATGCATATGTATATGTATGTATATAGATACGTTTACAATTTTTTGTTGTTCTTACTGTTGTCAAACAATTGGAGCGGCAATGACAACAGGACGAACCATGTCCTGCCAGGACATGCTTTGCGACACATTTCAGCTGCAAATGAATTAAAATGACAACAACAACAAAAACAGCCAAGAAGAATGTTTGCTGTGCGCCGGATATGCATGCAATGACTTAACAACCATCAAGCACAGACACCGACACCGACACACACACACACATACACACACACTGGCGCAATTTTGCGCCTAATGTCAAGGTTTTTTGGCTAACGTTCAATATTGCGCTGGCACGTGGCGCTGCCTTTGCTGCAAGCAGCCCACCAATCACGCCGCGCCCTGCCACATGCAGCGCATGAATGGACACAAAACGCGGCAATGCAAAAAACCAAAAGAAGCACAGAAAAAAAGCCCTGACGAGGGCCACCAGAAAAAAGGTCGCGACGTTGCCTGCGCCGCTTTTCCAATGTCAAGTGCAAGCGGCCAATCGGTGTCGCTGACATGACAAAAAAAAAAAAGAAAGGAAACTAAAGAAGAGTACGATCTGAGTCTGAACTGCTGCCGAGATGCTCTGCTAACGTTGTATGGCAAGAGTTTGCAAAGTCCAGCAGATTCTGAAATTGTAAACAGAATGCAGTGATAGCTCGCTTTGTGGCATAATCTGCAAAACAAACTGCTGATATATGTATATTTATATATTTATAATTATTATATTAAATAGGAAATTTGGCAAAAAAAAGGAGCAGTACTACAAAAGAAATTGCATATATACCACTCTTAGTAAACACAGTCGAGAGAGTAAAGTCAAGGCCAGTCTGAATATACCCCATGCACACAATTTAAACAGTGCATGAAATGTGAGCGATAGAGCAGGCGAGGCGCAGGTAGGTGGGGCAGAAGCTGGCTTCCACTTAACATGCAGCATTGGCAACGTTTGCCATTAAGGACAAAACGACGCTGCAAGTGACCCCCTGCAGGCTCTCACGGCAATGGACGTAGTATCTATCCATATTTTATGTGTCATCGATTGCATTCTCATGCATGTTGAAATAGGGCCTGCATCAACTCTTTTAGCCAGCTGAAAATCAATTTGTGCATGCAATTTGTGCTAATTTGTTGAGTATGTCCTTTGGCTGTCCTGCAAGGATATGTGCTTTCATATACTATATATGTATGTATGTATGTATGTATACAACACATAAATGGCATATTAAATGCTAATTGAGCCTTTGATTGCCATTACACATTCACCTTCAATTGTCCAATCATAACGACAAGGATTACAGTCATTGAGGTATTTTTAAAACAGACTATTTAAGTTCATGTCAGACGTGAACGATATTTTAATTCGAAGGCATGACTAATTTACAGCTAACATTGGTTTCTTTTATAGCTACGCAAACCACATGCATGACACATTTTCTAATTTAAGTGCATAGATTATAGCAATATTCCAAGGCATTACGTCATGGAATACACGTATCGTGTTAGGCTGGAACTGATGACACTATGAGAAGCTAGTCTTAGAAACAGAAAATTGCATGAAGAATTTATGTCGTTGTTTATTATATTCCCTCCATATATACTGATCTTCCTTGTAAATGTGACATGCAGTTTTACAAAAAAAATAAAATAAATAAATAAAATAAAATAAAAAAAACAATAACTCTTATATATGTTAAAATGATATAATTTACTTATTATATAATTAAATTATATAATATTATAATAAATATTCTATCTTTATTCTACATATTTGCAAATAAAATTTATCTGCAAATTTTCCACCTTCAAGAACCCAATTTATAAAATTCCTCACCTACTTTGTATTTAAGGCAAATTTAAGTGCTAATATACATGAGTGAATATTTAAGAGTTAAAGTTAAAAGTTTTATAAGCCAAATTTGCATACCATATTCATTGTAAAGTTAACATGAACTATAACATCAAGGACTTTGCAGAATTCTTCAGTAAAATATTATTTAATAAAACATAATAATATTTCAATATTTTCAAAATTAACATGCACTTTAAAACTTACAAAGTAGAAGCTAAAATAAGACTAAAAAATAATAAATATACAATATAATAGAAACCTCGATCAAAGTAAATTTACATTAAATTTAATTCAATCAATGACAAAATACCTTTTAATGTTTCAATATAATATTTATTCATTCATTGTGTACTTTTCCTTTAAGCTTAAAACATAGTTTTTAGTTGTATTAACAAAATGAGTCGTGTTTGTTGCGTTTAATTTGCCACGAAGCAATTTGCGTTGAGTAAAGTCTGATTAAATCCAAAGAAAACACTCCACAGGGTTAAAACTTAATGCTAACTTAAGAGTATGGGTGCGGGTAGATACTTAAGGATAAGGAAATTCAATAAATGGCTTTCAGTTTTTGGTGGTTGCCCAGGTTAAAAAATGTATATCTTAAGGAACAAACATAAATGTGATGTAATTACATGCTAATTAGCTAAAAGAAATTGTTTTGGACAGTGCTAAGAACTTCAACTGAAACTGAACTATCCAACTCAATGCTTAACTTAGAGATTGGGTCACATTGCATAAATAAGTTATAAATAGGACTAAGAACTAATGTAAAATAAGATTGAAGAATACATATAAACAAGGGACACGACTCGATTACCACGTCTTGGGCACACTGAATAGCCCATAACGATCGTGCGCATCGACGCCTCGCACGGCAAAGAAGTAACGCTGATTCTCTTGGAACTGATTCAGCGTAACTGCCATGGGCAGGAGCATGGCCTTCACGTCGCCCACATGCCGCCATGAGTCGGTGCTGGGCTCGTTGATCGTCTCCTGATAAGCATAAATCTGATACGTAACGCACTCGGCAAATCGACTGCCCGTATCCTCCAGTGTCCACGAGATGACAATGCCCGTGTCGTGCAAGCTGATGCGTATGACCGGCCGTGACGGCGGCAGCTTCCAATCCGGATGATTGATCTGCACCGGCGCCAGCGGTAACGGTGCAGGGTGCGAGAAACGTGCACGCGATCCGCTCGGCGGCGTATTCTCCGACCGTATCTGCATGTTAGCACTCGAGCCAGTCGATCCTCGTTGACCTGTAATACGAAATGAGTTTAATGAATGCTTTACAAATTCCCAAATATGATTCACAAACGCTTGTCAAGATTTATAGAAACGAGTCTAGTCCGAAGAGCCAGAGTATTTTCTATTATAGATTAAATATTTCAGAATTGTATAGGAATAACCTACAAAATATTACATTATTATAATACACATTGATAGGGTATACGAAATAAATTAAATGAATTTGAAAAATTCTCTTTTCTCTTTTTTATGTACGTAAATGGGAACACTCTGAACCAAATAGAGTTTAGACTGTACTATATTTTAGATGATAGAAGTATTTTAAATATTTTACTACTACCAATGCTATGGTTCATTCTACTATTCTAAGAGTAGTTTTATAATTCTTATCAGAAATATCCCATCAGAGCACAGAGCACTCCATACAATCCTTATACGATATATGGCTTTCCCTAATGAATCTTAATAATTTCCGTGTGATAAGCAAATGTGAATCGAGCTAAGCTTATATATTATTTGTGTAATTTACCTGGTCCATTG